CAATACTACAAACAACAAAACCTAAACAAACTCACAGAATCAGACCTGGCAGCAAACATTGTACACATTATATATTTCTATGCTAGTATAGTACATTTTTTTCTTTCTTTATAATAGTAGGTTTATAATAGTAGTAAGCAGAGATATACACTATTAAATCAAATTAACCACAGACTGCATTGTAAACTCAAGCATGTCTGCTTGTGTCACAGTACATCATCTTCAAGCATTATTTTCATCATTCCCAAATAACATGTATCTCTCAAAAACTAATAAAAATGGCTCTTTTAGCTTGAGGGAGTATTGGAGATATGGCAACCAGTTGGAAAATGGCTAACCTCTGGCCATGCAACCATGTAATAGGGAATTAATGGGAATGGCAGACAACTGCCTTATTTGGTCACTGGATGAATGGTCACATGATCTGTGTATTTGTATCACAAAAGTTGATATACAGGCAGTATGAAATAATTCTCTAGATCATTACTGTCAACATAGATTTCATTAGAGTATGTATGTCCCATGCTTTGCCAGAAATGATGTCGAATTCCATGCATACACCTACAGTTCAGATCAAATTATATTTGTAACAAGCCTGGCTCTTACAAAACATTGCAAGCAATATCATAATATAATAATACTGAAAATATTACTATTACAATTTTTTATAAATATATAACAAATTAATTTATAAATGAAAGTAATATTACAAAAGAAGAAGCTATTATTTTTCAATATTAGTAGTATAATCATCAATTACTAATGTACCGTATATTAAACTTATCTAGTAATTTGTACCAAAAAAATGACTAAGAATTATAATAAATTTATTAATTTTTTTTAACTACTATTCCTAGGATCATAGGTGTTACAAGAAAAGTGAAACACAGTCCTATCTAGCAGTTAATCTTTGTCAGCCTCATTGGCTTAATAACATATGTACAGTGACACTGCCAGTAATCTGAGAGTTTTGTAGAGAATACTATAGATTACGATCCATTACACTAAACCAACATTAATAGCCAATTCTTAATACCACTCTATATAAGCAGTGGCTTTGGACTGACTGATAAGCATGCACATTAGATATTTATCAATGGCAAATCAATGCATTCATTTAATAATAATAATAATAATAATAATAATAATAATAATAACAACTATTTTTTATTAAACTTTACTTTTAAAAGTATCTTCTTGGCCAAGAGATGAACTGTTCTTATGAATCTAACTTTTTAATAATCAGTTTTCCATGTTTTTCTATTTAAATTTTGGTTCAATAAAAAACATTCCAATACATGTAGGTCAATTTCATTCTGTCAGGCCAAAGGTTAAAGGTGAGTTCAAGGATGCAAGACAACCTAGTGCTGGGTAATTTGTTGCCTTAATACAAACCAGCAGGAAACTGCATTACTATATTAGGCCTACAATTCATGAAATAATCTTGTAAAAATATTATTGGTTATAAATTGTTCATTGTGTTAGGTGAGACTTTTTTTATACCTTGTTTATGGAAGACCATCAGGAGAAGGGCGGAATAATTAATTATTTTCTTATTGCAAAATGGTTTGATATCCAAAGCATCAAGACAGAGGAAAGAATTTAAAACAAAATTTTATTGATGAATGTAAACAGTTGGGATTGATACTCTGCTTTACATTTAAATCAATTAAGGAAGGCATATAGATATCTTATTTTGGGAAGTTTCAAGGGGGTGGGAATAAAAATATAAACCAAAAAATATATTCCTGAATATTTTCAGTGCCTTCCACAGTAAAAACCATCTCAAAGTGCTTTTTAGCCACTAAGAAACTAAAATTTGTGGGGGTGGGTGCATTAACTGGCCAAAAATATAATTTAATCTTTATTTGAAATCATTATCGGCAGTGGGTTTGCAAAACAAGGTACAAAAAGGTCTTGCCTTAATGAATGCATTTAATATTGAATGCACTAAATATGTAGTTCAATTCCACAAAGTTGCTCAGTCATATTTAAGGGGTTGCAGAAATAAACTTTCAGACATGATGAGAACACTTTAAATTAAACAATAGAATGGCATGTGGCAGCTCAGACCTACACTTCTAATAGATTGCATCATACCTGATACAATAATTCGGAAGACAATGTAGGCGTAGGACCTATGTGTGAAAATTGTGTTCATTGCACCATTTTATGGTGAATTTAAATCTGAGTCTTTAAGGAAACAATGCACCAATTGTTCATGGGGGTAAAAACAAGAGGCAATTAATAATGATAAAAATAGACCTAGGTTTTATACTAAATATTAAACTACAGTAGTCTACCTAGACCTAGAGTAGGCCTGACCTTAGGCCCTAACCTTGGGCTGCCTAGGTTCGGTTTGAAATTCTGCAGAAAATGTACAGTTTTGAATCAAACTTTAGAAAAATTTATTAGATTATCACTCTCGCCCACGTCAACAATTCGGGAAATATTGATGCGGGAATAAAAAAAAAAAATTTGCCGCATCAATTATTTCAACAGCATAAAAATAACAATGTAATTTTGTGACTTCAAATACAATTTCTTTATTATAAGAAACTATAAAATCAAACCAATTTTTATACAATATTTACTATTAATTACAGACCAAATATAAACAGTCCCTCCCTCATCGATAAAAACAAAAGCGAAATAATCTATTGTTCCGATTAAAAAAAAAAAAAAAAAAAAACCGCCCTCCCTGGCCTCATTAATTTTTTCTTTTTTAATAGTGATAATCTAATATTTTCACACACACATTAGTTTTGAATCGAATTCCTATTATGTAGGCTTACAAATCTTAAAGCAAATACACAGAAAGACGACTGTTGATATGACCTGTGCTAGGGCTACAGTGTAAGTTAGTAACCAAGCAATACGCCCTAGCCTAGGCCTACTACTACTACTAGGCTAGTAGTACCTACCCAAAAAATGTGCTTGAGGAGCAGGGCCAGGAGCGATAGTCTAGGCCTAGATAGCAAGTAAGCCTAGCTATCTATGATCTCTAAATAATTTAGCTAGAATGCTCCAAAAAGGGATATCACTTTAATTATATTCATATTATCTCAAAGATATGGTAAGTTGAGTTATACTTGTTGATTGAACGACTAGGTAAGCATTTTCAATACTCACTCCACGACCATTTTCTTTGAAGGAGAAAGAAAGTTATTGGGAGAAACCATTTAACCTACGTGTTGCTTTGTAAATACGAGAAAAAAAAATCATAAACTTTATTGTTATGTTATCTCATAATATACCACAAACTAAGTTGAAAATTATATAATAAAAATAAGTTTCTTTTACAAACAATAACAATATATAAGCACTTCAAAATATTTTTTGTATCGTGCCGGCCTACCTAACCTATAATCGGTATAATCTTTATTCTATAAGCCAATAAGGTATCAATATGCAAATTAGCGGGCGTGGTTAAAATAAGATATTGGACGGGTTTCTATATTTCATTTCAGTTGCTTTGTATTGGTCGAACAACTCGATTGGTGTTTTTCTTGTTTGAAATCCTTGTTATGTAATAAAAGTGTGCTACATACTTACTTGGACCTAGTATGAACACCAACAATTACATAGGCTATGTTATATTTGCTATTAATATTATGTTTCATTGGTAATGGTGAACTCGTTTAGACATGCCCCTGCTCAAATTATTGTACTATTTCCAAAAAATCCGTTTTTTTCGTACTGTGAGTTCGTAAGAACAACGTTTTAGCCTAGACATTGGACATCCACCCTGTTGTCCATAGTCTTAGTTCAAAACAGCAATTCAACTCCAAATCCACATCAAAATAACAGCTTGATAATATCAAAAGCAAACTCAAGAACATTATAAACACTAAGAACATTAGGTGAGATGATGGTGATGACTATGTTGATTAGTTTTCATCATTAAGCCTAGAATAAGATCTGAAATATTGAGTGAGGATTCAAGCTAACTTCTTCTAACAGAATCGTCTAGTGGCGTATCCTGTACATCATCAGTTTTTTTTTTATTTGCTGTCCGATCACACTCAAGGTTTTAGGCTGCGGCCTTTAAAAAAAACAAACCTGGATACGCCCTAGATTTTGACTATCAAAACGCAGCTATAGAACATGATTTTTGTTATTAGGATCGTCTGTGCATTCATGCCATATGGTCGATCATTCGCACAAATATGAAAGAGATTAGAAAAATGATAAAATAAATCACAATCAAGCGGAGGTGGTTCACATTTTTAGTGCGAATACAGAGAATCGAGAAAGAAACCTTTGATGATTCATTTAGTCTATAAAAACTCGATCCTTCTCAATGGAAACAAAATAATAATAAAACACCACAACACGACAATGGAAGAATCTTAAGGCAGGAGGCAAATCTATGATGAATATTTAGCACGCACTCTAGAATCACGAGAAATAATATTATCATTAACCTCGATTTCGTTATGGCAGATTTTCGTTTTCTTTGATACAGTTGACTGGCGATGAGGGCGCTTTGAGAGTAAACTCGTCTCAACGTCTGCAGTGAAGCAGAGAATGGTGTAAAAATGGATAAAAAAGCACATAAAAGATTAAATGTTTCTTTTGGTAATCAACACCCTCAAAGAATATGACGTATTTATTTCAATTTAATATCAAATTAATTTAAATTAAAGACGCGTTGTTAATATTCAGCCATTATTCTAAATATAATTTTTGGCGTTTTAGAATAAATGCATGTGGACTAACCCAGGGAGTTTTTATAAACTCAGGGCTTTCACATACAGTAGATGGAAACGTACAACGACAGTAAGCCATGCTGTTGCACTGAAGGTTCATGCAGTGTGACGTATTCTACCTAAAACATCACTCTCATGGTGTGCATACTATAGAGATGATGTCATCAACGGCGGTTTCTTGTGGGCTTAAAACATTGCAGGCTGCTGCAGTACGGGATGTAGCGTACTGTACAAAGATAACGTTGCTGATGTAGATATTAATACAACTGTTATGAAATCTAGGCTTACCCATATGGTGACTGAACAAGTACTGGTGACTGAAACGTTCTCGGGTATGCATCTAAAAGGGAAAAGTATTAGAAAGATCATATTATCTGAGGATATAAGGCCCTATTTACTGTGACGTAAACAAGTGAAAATTGATAGGTTTATGTCAATTCATATTAAAGCGCGAGAATCGGTTTTACCACTTGAACTTTTCTCGGGGTGATGGTGGAAGGGTCGACTTCATAAAGATAATATTAAAAACAAAAACGAAGCTCCAACTCAAAGCGTAAAATATAGTATTATTAAAGACCGAAGATGAAAACTAAATTATCTAGAAATCTTAGGTATATAACTTTGGGCCTATATATTAAATGCAGATCAGTCTGTACTTTTAGAGTGCCGTATACTTAGGCCTATCAAAAATACAACGATGCATATTGCCTGCCTTGCGTTTTGGAGTTTTTAGATATAAAGTTAATTTTTTCAGGCTTTTGTATAAATACAACATCAACTTGGCATGTGCGTCTTTCTTCGCACTGTTGATCTTTTTCTTTGTTTTTATAAATTCTTGGCAAGAAGACCATACGTCCCGATTCGACATTTTTTACATGTTTAGCTATATTAGCATTTTCTAGTGCAGTGTTATCATAACAAACACCCACCAGATGGTAGGTCTACCTATGCTTTATAAAACAGTTTATACACATAAATGTCTTTTCCAATGCAATGTGTGATGAAACAAAAAAAAACTTAATGTAAACAGAAAGAACCTCATTCACATAATTACGTGTAGGTAAATATACATCGATTCTTCAACGGCCCAAATGTCCGAATTTTGTTTTAAAATCACAGTGATTAAAATTTCAGGTTTGGTGACTCATCGTTATTCTATGAGTTCATATATTAACCAACCTATCATTCCATCGCATAGACCTAGTACTATAATACTAATAATTTGTATTAGACTTTTAACAATACATTATCTGGTCGAAGCTTGGACTTCGTTACAACGGTCCAATGATACTTACTCGCTGTTGTGGGATTGTTCCTTGGCTTGGCTCCCAGAAATGCGAGGTTTACATTTGCTTTTCTCCCATCTATTATTGGGTTTGGATCTTTACAAGCAGCCGCCGCCGATTCTTTAGTTGACATTGTAACCTTGAATAGAAAAAAAATTAAATGCAACATGAATTAAGAGGTTTTAATATAAAGTAAACAAATAAATTCAGCCATGTCAGAATCTGTCAGAAGAAAGTTTCCTGATACTGAGAGTGCTACCGTATATCTAATCCGTTGGACAAGTACCGGTAGTCCGAATGGGGTCAACACACCAATGAACGATGGTGATAATGACAAATTATGATGACGATAACATCAACGACTATGGTTGGATGATGATGATGATGATGATGATGATTTAAAAGACGCCAATGATGATGGTGACAAGTTTGTGCCTATATTGTATTAATGCATCTAACAAATTGACGATAGACCTATATTTACTTATTCTTGTACACACTACAGTATTTATATTAATTGCAACTCCAGATAAAGTTACAGCATATTAACGGTGTCAAATCAACATTTTTCTAGTAATCAAATACTACTAACGCAAACTCAATATACTACACATCTTTTTTTTATATATAATGTTTTATTGTTTGTTAATTTTCGAATAAAATTCACAACAGAAATATATTTGACCTTTCTCTATGATTAGACTGCGACGAACCTTACAACTGCCGGCTAACCGGAATCGTTATGATCATGTTTCTAAGACAGACGTATATTATACAATACAGTTAGCTTTTGTATATCTAATGTAAATGATTTACGACAGCGCTTAATGCAAACATTAACTGCAAATATCAAGCGTTTGTTCGCCTTTACCTTTCAATCTTCATTGAGATAAAAGTAAGGGAACATAATGCACCAGACTTGGCCCTGTGCACTACGACGTTTTGTCAAAGATAAACTGACAAACACATACCGTAGTATCGGCGAGCAAATTATACGGCTAAACCATCCATTTTCGAATGCAACTTGGGCAAATATCAGTCGAGGTCAAAAACGAAGAAGTAAATAAAAGAACACGCATAGAAGAATAGCTCTATATTTTTGAATAATTCATAGTTTTGCATCATTTGTTTACTAGAAACCTATCTATATACTGTAATCCGTTAATTGCTGGAAAAACAAGAGCAAGACCATGCATGTGCAGCAGTTATAATATCCTACCAGGGGTGGCGCCAGCGGGGGGGGGGTCGGGGCCCCCGTCGGGGAGAAAAAGCACAATTCGTCGAGGGGAAAAAATTATATGTATTTTCTACATATTAGTAGACTCTAAAGTCGATTAAATAAGCCTTTGATACCCCTAAATTGTCAAAAAATTTCGGCCCCCTGGCACCACTTTAGAAAACCTTTTAATTGAAGCTCAACCACGCCCATTTTGCTTTCGTCGGGGAAGTCTGACTCCTCGTCGGGGCATCGCCTCCCCCCCCCCCGTCGGGGACCTCCCCCTCCCCCGTCGGGCATATCCTGGCGCCACCCCTGCATCCTACTACATTATCAGAAGTCGTCTTACTTCAACAGTAACTTAATATACTGTATATACAGCGGTGGTTTGTTTATTTGGTTTGATGTTTATAGAAATGGTTTGTCACATACTAGCATGAACAATTTATACTATTTATGTATTTATTATTTATTAAAACATGTTTAGGCAGGATATACAGACAAGATGGTAACGCTGTTTACAATGGTCCTGCACACAACTAGGCCTATAGCACAAACATAGTTAAATTAACCAAAATTACAATTACAGTACCGTAGTTGTTTTATTCTGCATGACTTTTGATCAAAGAATTAGACTGAAAGATTGCTGAAGCTTTTTAATTAAATATTTAAATCAACGAATCTGGCAAAATAGCAAATTTAACCTTGTAAGTCTATGCGTCATAGGGTATGAGTTTTACGTATCAACCACGTGACTGCTTATCGTTAGCAAGTTGGTTTCGCATCAATTAAATATGACAGTTGAGAATTCTTAGAGCTGTCCAGTTTACAGCAGTTGTAGATATTTAAAGAAATTATCATAGCTTTTGGCGAAACGATTTATTGAAATTGCTAATTAAGTATGACAAAACATGAGGATCTGCAATGATAAGTTTTTGTTCCTTGATAGGCTTATACTTTCTAAAAGCACACTTTTCTTTATTCACGTGCTCGAGTTATAAATTGTTTTTGTACGGGATTATTATATTGTAGTTTACACCTCTCACCTTTTTAGGTCAACAATATTATAACGTCGTTAATAAAACCCTTATTATGCAAATTCAAAAGAAATACTAATCAAGATCATTCTGATTGGTCTCAAGTCTGCTGTAGGCCAAACTTACTTCTAATAAAGCACATTATCATCCTCTGTTGAACTACTTTTGAGGGAGACGATGAAAAAGTATCGCAGAGATACATAAACCAACGAATGCCACTCATCAATGACTTCAAAATCTAGTTTAAAGCAAATTTACACCGAATGAACTGTCGACTCTGTGAAGTGCTTTCTCGCCCCCATATCGAACAGTGTGTCGTCTATTAACTCATTCAGGAGTAGACAATGCTCTGAACATGCACTGATTATTCGATGTTCAAGTTCCTAACCAAAATGTTTGGAAGACCTCTCAGAACATTCCCATAATATTAAGCCTAGGTTTATTCAATTTGCTCTCGTTCCAATCGTTCGACAAAACTGAACAAATCTTTCGTCAAACAAAAATAATACTTGATAATTTTGGCACATCGGTTAATTCTTGCCATCTATTATAAAGTACAATGGGGCCTTGGCTTGAGATTTGAGAACATTATCTTCCAGTGTACACATACTTACAAGTTCATTGTGTGTTTGAACGCACTGGGATATCTGTCCAATTTCGCGGTAAAAATCTAATGTAAAATTACCATGGTAACGGGACGACACGGCGTTGGTATTGTGACTGAATGTACGAACTTCCACGCACCTATTCAGTTCCTTTGTGTTCGCTTGTTCCCATTTTTGTGGATGCTTTCTTTACATACAAATTAAGTCCCTTGTTTTTTGAGGTGCACAAAAAAGCGGAGCGTTTAATTCGTGTAGGAGCATGATGACTTGAATTCAATTGAAAAAAGATTAACTATCTAGCAACAAGCTAGCAGGTGTAGCCATACAGCGGACACAATATAGGCCTATTATTAATGATATTATGAATAGATAATAAAGAATACCAAATCAAATTATAGCATTGACAGCCCTGGCTACTGTAACTTAGCTCATAATACTTTAACCAAAATTAGGGAAAATAAGTAATTTCTTGCTTCACTACTATACATAAATTATTATTATTATTATTATTATTATCATTATTATTAATATGGTGATAAAAAATAATATGATGATAACATAATATGCCTATAAGATAAGGTAGCAACATATGTATAAGCAAAGCATAATTAATTGGGCTTATGAAATAGACTATTTAATATACATATTTGTTTAAACATTTTTCTATGCATTACGATTAGGAAAGAGTCTTTTTTATTGTTCGATAACATGCACTGTGGCAATATGAGCAGAATATTTATGAGGACACGTTCGTTTAACTTTTCACATGAATGAGTACAAGCCTCACAGTATTAGTAGTTCTGTTATTCACCCGGTTTAATATTACGTTCAACGCCTTACGACTACATCAAATACCTGGTGAAAATAGAACGATAGGCCTACTTACAAATCCATATCCTTTGCTCTTTCCCGTCGCTCTGTCTGTTATTACCACTGCTTCTTCTATCTCTCCAAATGGTTTGAAAAAGTTTTTCAGAGTATCGTCTGATGTGTTAAAAGGTAGCCCACCTACGAAAATTTTTGTAAAAGTTGTGTCTTTTTGCCCAGGTAGCATCTTGATGGTTTTAATCTCCTAAAATGGAAGTGATAATTCGCTAGCGGAAGATGGTCTGGTTCCTAACTTGGAGGTGATTTAGTTGGTTTACTATCCTTGAATGTATCCCGGTTGAATGTTTAATTGATAGAGCTAAGGATGTAGTAAACCAAACGGAGACTGAACACAAACTAACTGTTTCTTGAGCGAAAGCCGGTTGTATAATGATTAAGTCAACACACTTCTTGCGCTCAGCAAGCCACTGGCGGAATGTATACAATAGAACGTAGGTGATTCCAACCTTCTTCAATGTCGACTCCGCCCACTTCTGAATAATGTATGAATGGCACACGGCGAAGATCACTGAACAATCTTTATTATTCTTTTCACCTAGTGCTACGACTCCTACTATTGCACAACCTTTCAGATTTACAATGAAACATCATTCCATAACTGATAAACATATATATACATATATGTAGGCCTATATATATAATTCTCTGATTGCAACCAGTGTTTCTACTTGGTTGGTTAAATCAGTTAAATGGTCATTGATGCCTAACCCCGTACTCCCGATCTTGGATACACTTTACCCATTAACTGATACTTCAACGCGTTCACGCTGTATTTACCACTTGCGTATCGATAACTTCTATAGATTGATAAGTAAAATAAATAATAAATTCAAAAATAAAAGCACTATCTAAACCAGACGGTATGATATTCAAAGTCCAAAACTTCCAAGAATATTTTTATTGCAACATAAAATACAGACTGAGTAAATATTAGTTAGTACATTTATAGCCACACCTATCACTATGACTGGAGAAAACATAATGGGCTTTTATCCTTATTATAGCAGTTTTTGTTCTCATTTCCATGCGAATCTTTAAAGTAATTGCATTATATTAGCACAACATGTGTCAAAAAAGTCTCTGTGAACACGTTACTATAGATTTGAAAAGGTTAGGATGCTACCACAAACGACGACCTTTTTGTTTTTACTGCTCTTTTTGATATCTACAACTTATAGTTGTGATCAAAACAAGACAGTCTAGCCTAATGTATTTACGGAAAATCTCAAACAGCAGGAAGGGGCCGGGTCCCTGCTCCACCCTGGATCCGTAACTTAAACGTAGGCTACATATCCTAGAGTAAATAAATTCTCTAGCGTTTATTATTATTTTCCGGACAGGGGCGGATCCAGAGATGTCCAAAAGGGGGGGCCGAAAGGGGGGCCGATCGAGACAACAATGTCCTAGGGGGTCCGGGGGCATGCCCCCGCGAAATTTTTGTATTCTAGACGCCTGAAATAACATTTGAGGCGTTGTGGGCTATCATTTTTTTTTTCTTATTCTTTCTTTTTTTCTTTCTTTTTTCTTTTTTTTTTTAGCTCCCAAAAGGGGGGGGGGGGGGGGGGGGGGGGGGGGGGGGCCAGCCCCCCTAAATCCGCCCTGCCGGAGTAAATAATTATCTAGCGTACACAATTCAAGAATGTTTCCCCATCCTTAGGAAAAATAATGCTACATACTTAGTATCATTATCCATTATCTAATTTGCGGAAAATGCTTCTCAACTAGCTTTTCAATTAATAAGAGAACCTAGTTGAAGCGAAACACCCTTGTTTTTTCCCAGCTGACATTAGCTTCAAAACCGCTAGGCGTTTTCGAGGTTGACGAGGCCGTAACCGAAGCCTCTCGCTATGTATGATCCAGCTATAGGATATGCTACTGCTGTTAATTAGCACCTGGTTTAGTCCAAGTAAGCCAATCTTCCGAGATAAATTAGTTTCTTTATGCGCCTTAATTATATTCACTAGGCGTTCTAATTGAAGGGGTTGCCATGCAATAGCTCAGTTCTTTTTGATGAGTGAACATTGTTTATCTTTAAACTATTTGTATCGAATTCATCATTATTGCATATCTCATCATTCACCACTGATGGCAACATGTATCGTAATTCGTATCTCTGTTTTTAGATGATAATGTTGACGACGTCGATGATAACAGTAAAACTGATCTCAATCATCATATTGTCGCTAAATCGCGACAGTATGGACTCATTTCCATTACCGTCCTTATAATAATTCATTTGCCAAAGAGACACCGTTGTACATCGTTAGAATGTATCAGCCCTCGTCCAATATACGCCAAAAAGCCGATCATTTTCACCACCAATTTTATCACTGAGCATTGGCGCCGCCTACGTCATCGAATTTATATCAAATCCTATCAACTCCCTGTCATGTCTTCGACAAATTAAAACTCCCTAAATGAAATTAAAGCTTCTGAATATTTAAATATTTGAATTATTAAATATTTTTTTCAACTTCTAATGTCAAACTGACCAAAAATCCCTGATTTAAAAGCTTTACCGCATGCAATTAAACGATTATTTGATTGATTAAAGGGCTTGCTAATATAAAAATATAGAAAAATATAAGGGCACGTTAATTGATTAATAATTTAGGCATGAGCTAATAACTTATATAAATAAGCAAAATAAAATATTGTTTCCAAGAATTATATTCTACAATAAACAAATTTATAATTTAAATGAGCGATTCGTTTTAATGAAATTTAGATGGGTTTTTTACTTTTTAAAAATAACTGGCGAATATTTTCGTAGTAAAAATATGATACCGATATTGTAACTTCGCACAAAACTAGTTAAATCGTCATCATAATCATTATCATCGTCATCGTCGTCATCATCATCATCAACACCATCCTCATTATCATCAACATCATCATCGTCATCATCATCATCTCCGTCGTCGTCGTCGTCATCATCATCATTATTATCTCTATAATTATCTTTATCATTATCATCATTACTGTCTTCATCATCATCATCATCATCATCATCATCATCATCATCATCATCATCATCATCATCATCATCATCAAACGGAAACACTGCCATATTAACTACACTTAGCTTTTTATAAGAGCCAGTAACATTTTGCCCCGACTCATGTTCTTATTTATTTGCCGATTTCAGAAATTGTACTGCAATATTACTGTAGGCCGGCCCCACTGTATCATAGAGTGTATTACATAGTCACTATTGCAAATAAGGCACAGATAAGATTACAGTAGTTAATGTTTCTATTTAAAAAATAAAATAAAAAAGGCATTTGACATTTGACCTCAGCCTTAATTTGTTCTTAATTTTTAAGCAATTTCAGTGTTCTTATAAAATGTGTTCTTATAGGCCTATATAAAAAATTGTATTGTCATATCGACCTTACAGCCACCTCGTGTGGTCATTGTACATGGGAAAATAAACCTCTGATTTATGCTTTTTATGTTGCTAGGACACATGTCCGAAACTACGGGCTTGACTAACTTTATGTCGTCCAAAAGGCGCCTTTTGAAAAAGGGAAATTCCCCACTTGGGCCCCGCAATGAACAACCTTATTTTACACCCCATGGTAATTCATGGGCGGCACGCAGTCCAAACTTTGCCCACGGAGTCAATTAATGTGGACTGCACAAAAAATTCAAAATATTAAGCCTTTTCAGCCTCCGAATCTATGGTTCATGGGAGAGGGTTGGTGTTTCCGTACCGTAACTGTTGTGGGAGTTAGCCTACAGGAAACTCCTAGTTTTAGCCAATTTAATCTCATCTATATGACTACACTTGGTTAGATATTTTTTGGCTGGCGGAGGGGGAAGGGGAGATGTAAAGGGATAAGTGCCAATTTTTCCTCTAGATGCTGTTTAATTTACAATATTTTAGAGTACTAAGAAAGTTGATTATAATTTCTTATTTTAACTTTCTCCTTATCTTGCCCCAGACAACGATGGTACGCACAAAATAGTTTGTTCTTTATTTAAAGTTACAGAATTGTGATTTTAGCCAGTGGCTAACCCTCATCCATTAGTGTAACGAGATGATTCTTTTTGGCCCGAAAATCAACAACTCTACAATTTAGTCCTCCAAACATATTATTTACCATAACAGTGATCTATCAAGATTTGTTTTTGCCGGGGGATGAAAAAACTTGCACTGTCAAGGATCCGGATTCCAATTTGGGCGGGACCTATATGGTTCAAGGGAATTGGTTGGGGTGTTTCCTTACCTGTTTTGGAGGAAAAGAAGCTATGGCTTCTGGAAAACTCCTAGTTTTACCAATTTAATCTCATTAATATAATAGTGCACTTGGTTATAGATTGGCTGGCGGAGGGGGTGGGGAAAGGAAGGAGCGGGGAAAGTGCCAATTTTTGCCAATAGATGCAGGGCTGTACACTAGTATATCAGGTGATTTAGAATGTAGGTTTGAACGTACACTTTTTGTTGTCTGTAATGGGCCTATGGTATGCAAAATCAATCAACAGCATCAGAATCATCTTCCCGGTTATATGTCTTCACCACACTGACTTCTATCTTCAATATTTCGTTGGCATGTCTACGACACTGCTACCAACTTAGTAGGAGTACAGTGAACCATAAGAAATTATTTCACATGGCGGCCCTAATTAGACTACCATTAATTAACACCAAGTCCATTATCTCATCGAAACCAACCATTAGAAAGTCCGAGTTTGATGTTCAGCATCTATCTTGAGCGTTATTTCGTTCGTTACTCTCCTAAAAACTCATTCTGCTAACACACATAGCATAGTTGCCTTGTTACGTCTACATAACACTTACATATTTCAATAAAATATAGCAATATAGTACATTAAACACGCGAACAGATGCCGTGTCAAAAACGTTATGAAAATATATCGAATTTGACAAATGTTGAAATTTGAGTCGAACAGATGGCATAATACTATAAGAGAAGATCAGAATAGTCATGGTAATCACACTTATTGTAAATTAAACACGATTAAAATGTATAGTAAACGAAACTACTGAAGTTAATCATCTGTAATATCCATAAAGAACATCAACAATTAAAGTAACAATGATATCTGTGTACAGATATCATGATTATTTATTTCTTGTGTTCAATTTATAATAGAATATAATAAATATAGGCCTATTTCTCTCATATGCGTATATAGGCCAATTCAAGGGTAAAGGGATTCAAGTGTCCATGGTCATTGGTGGTGCATGTGGGGTAGAGGGGACGATGCATGTACACCCCTCCCTTTGGCAGCATGAATCCCCTGTCGTACATTATATTTTGTTATTTTTGCAGATATAAGAAAAAGAGATACTGTGATTGCAGTTTTTTTAATAATGTGGTCAAGAATCACATTTTGTAACTTTCCAATTATCCCTGTTGCTATAGGGATTCGCCTACCGGA